CAAATGTGAAGGAGGAAAAAAAAGCGTCTAATTGGTTTTGGGGGGGATTCGATTTTGTTTTTTTTTTTTCTTTTCCTCCCCCTTTTCTTATTTCTTCCTTTTATTATTTATAATTAGTCTCTTTTTTTATTTTTCCTTTTCATTTTTTTTTCTTTTCTATTATTTGCTTAGTTTTATTAGCTTTTTTTTTTACGGGAAGTTTTATTAGCTTTGTATTTATACCCAATTTTGGGGTAATTAAAAAGGGGGGGGGGGACAATTATCATTTATACAATTATCTAATCAGTTTTTAGGAGAGCTTCTCTCTCTAGGTTTAGGTTAGGATTAGAGTAGTTTAGAGAGAGAAGGTGAGGGTTTCACCATTGTTGTTCTTGGATATTGAAGAGGAAGATTGATCACCTTGCTTGTAGATTTTAACATTCAATCAATGAGAATCTATAACTCTCTCTCCTCTATTTTTATTGCTTTCTTTTGATTATTATTTTAGTTGTTGGTATTGCTTGTTAATCATGTTTATTCTTGATTATTTGTTAATTAATCTTGTTATTAGCATGATTAGTGAGTAATTTCCTCATTAAGGGGATGGTTGTGGTGTAGTTGGACCTTGAGCATGTTCTAGAGTTTAGAATTGATTTATTTGTGATTAAAGTCATTATATGCTTGATATTCTTTAATCTTCTTGCAAATGCACATTGTTGGTTGATTAAAGGTGAATCTTTGCTAACAAGGAACGGAAGTTGACTTAGTTAAGGTTCATTATTATCGATTGTTATTTAATAGTACCTCCTAGTATATGGTTCTAATGTGGAAGCATAGAGGCTATGTTAGGAGAAGCCAATTGACCCCGGAAGGCGGCTAGATTGGATCTTTTACTTCGATATTCGAGCATGTTTAGTTCATAAGTAATTCAATTTCTATGCCTTTGTTTATGTTCAAGTGAATGCTATACCTAACCATTTCCCTTATTGTTTTATTTCTTGTTTTAGCATCTTTAGACTTTAGTTTATTTATCTCCTATTCCGGACTAGCTTAATTGTCGATAACATTTGGTGGTGTTTATTCGTTCCCTGTGGTTCGACCCTGTAGGCGTCGCTTGAAGTGCACCTACGTTAAAAGCATGTTGTGAATATGCTTGGCACTCATAGGAAGTGGGAATTGACATAATACGATTAGGGACAAATAAAGTAGGGAGCTGCCAACAAGTTTTTAAGGAACTTGTAAACCGTTCACGGATCATAAAAGGCAACCATGATAAGGGACAACAAAGGCAAAAACGATTGACCCGTGAAGGTTACACCCCATTCATAATCCATGAGATTACTAACTCCATATGGTTCTGAACCACGAAAGGAGGATCGGGAATGATGGTACGAAGTGAGTCATGGAGTCACATTCGCCCGTATTGGCCTCTACTCGATTCTTATATTGAAAAGCACTCCTGTGATCTCAAAGGCATACAAACAAAATATTCAATTCGCTCCACATGCATTTAAGAAAATAAAATAAGAGTAATTAAATTAATTAATTACTTACATTCCGCGCGTTCCTTTAAATTGCTACATCATGAATAAACTGTTAGTAACTTCAATAAAAATATAAATCAAATGGAAATTAAATTAAATAAAAAGTAGAGTTGATTTGGTCCAAACCCTCAGTTATTTGTACCTTTCACGCCTTGGTTTAAGGACGGAACCTCGGGTTAAGTATAGATTCCTTGGAGTGCTTAGGGGAATTATTATGGAAGAATAAGGATGCTAGAAATTAGGTTAAAGAGGGAGAAGAGAATGATATTTGGTGTAAGGTGAGAGAGAATGATTATTGGTGCCCCGTACATCAAAAATGAGGGGGTATTTATAGGGAAAATGTGCTGAGGGAGCACACGGAACTCTAAAATGATAAAAACCCTAAAAAATTATCCCGCGACACGGAAAACTGTACCGTGACACGGGAAGTCCCACCGTCAGACGGGAAACATTCCCGTGACACGATGCATTTTAGTGTGACGCGAGAAATTTTCAGTAAAACGGGGAAGAAAACGCGTTAAGGGTTTACGCGGAAAAGACACGGAATTTCCCGTGTCAAGGCAGATTTCCCGTGTCACGGGAAATCCCACCGTCAGACGGGAAGGATTCCCGTGATACGGTGGGTACCTGCCGTGGCGCGGGAATTTCCAGCCTGCTTTTTCTTCTAAATACATTTTAAACCCTCTTTTCGTTCAGCATTTTAAGTGCCGATTGATAATTTCGGGCCATTTTCTGATTTATTATTTTTTGGGATAAAATTAGAATATAATTAAATAAAATAAATAAAAGGTTTGGGCCAAAAATAAATAATAAAACAATAAAATAAAAAAGGTTTGGGCTAATAAGTTTGGGCTGAAATTAAAACTATGCTTTTTCCAAACATCAAGACTAGTCCATGAACTGTTCAAAAATATGAATTTAATCAAATACGATTTTTTAAGCACTCTCGGGATTAAATACTGAACCCGACCAATAGTGGCGGTGAAAGGTTGTTCATCATCGGGTTTGGTTTTGGGGAGACATTTTTAGTTGTCTACAGACCCCTATGCTTGCCTTATACTCGTATTAGGTTTATTTAGGTTGTATAAATTGTATTTGATCAAGGGATAGACAATTGACAACGCGTTTATTCCCTTGTCATATATCCAGAAGTTCTAAACCACGCAGCAACATACAATTTGGTGCCATAATCTCATTCGCCAATTTTGCTTACATGGCATTTGAATTATTTAATTCTAAAAAAAATTAATAATCTCCTATTTAATTGGCTACTACTAAGATTTATAATCTTACATGGCGCACTAAGAAAATTAGATCCTATGTGGCTCTCTAAAAACTCGGGAAAAAACTCCCCTTTATATATATATATTAGATTTTAGCCCTCCCTGAAAAATATATAGCATTTTGGGCCAAATTGTTAAGGAGTGGGCTTAAACAATCATGGAGAAGGACTAAAATCAAAACGGACTAAGATAAAACAAATTTAACAAATTGGGCTAAGATTATGCTATAAATATGGGTCATGCTATCCTAAAGGGAATAAGGCTAGATATTGAGCTAAAAGATCTTTCTTCAACTTGATCTCTAGCTCGGAATAAATAATAATTAAGCAACACATATATTTCAATTTGGAAAATTTGTCAAAAAAATCCTTTTTAAAAGCATTATTATATGAAAAAAAACATTTTAAAAGTTTTTTGGTTAAAAAAACCACCATGTTTATTTTTTTGACGAGAGAAAATCTATTTCCCTAATTACCCTCTAATTAACCCCCCCATCGGACCCGCTGTCCAGATTCGGTAGGTGAGGGATCTGGGCGGCTGGTCCGGTGGGTGAGGGGGTTGCTTCCAAGGGAGGGGGAAAGGAGGAAGAATGGGAAGGGGGGTTGGTTGGTGGTTGGGGTGTTTTTTTTTCTTTATTTTAATGTATAAATTAAACCTAATTATTTAGTAATTGGGTAGGTTAGATATTAATTAGAAGAATTGGGAGAAATTAGAGTCTATTTAAGTTAATTAGAATATAGTTGCAGAAATGGGTTTTCTCTCGCAAAAAAAAAAATGAACATAGTGGGTTTTTTTTTTTTTAACCAAAAAGCTTTTAAAATATTTAATGGTGCTTTTAAAAGTGTTTTTTTTTAAACAAATTTTTCTTTCAATTTTGGACCTTTTTCCTGAATTTTATTTTTATTTTTGAAGCCAAGTGAAAGATATTAGTCTATAGAAACTTCACTTTAATCTAGGCTTCAGAAAAGATAAGCGTAAGGTACTAACTCAGGACAAAGAAAAAACTTAGATGTGTACCATGAGGGATTGAGAGAGGCGCACCTTTGTTTAGTCACACTCAAAGAGTACCATATGATTTTTGTGGGCTTGTGTAGGGGCCCTAAACAATGGAGAAGTGTTCCATAATTTTTTTTTTATAAATATCTTTTTTAATGAAAATGTGGGCCCCACAAAAGGGAGTCCTGAGTTGTTGCTCAAGGTGCTCCCCCTATGAGCCGACCCTGTTGTGTAAGAAGAGGGAGGTGCATCCATTTTGTTTATCGATATGGCGGTTTAAGATTGCATGGCTAGGTTGTTCAAAGAGCGATCTAAATCAAACATCAAACTGATTTTTCGTGATTTGTAGTTTTAAATTGTAGTGTAGTTTGTGACTTTGACCAAATTGCTATTTGCAGTTTAGGTGCGGTTTCCAAAAAAATTAACCAAACCACATCACGACTATAAACCACTTTTATAATTTAGTTTTATTCAACTGAAAAAAATATAATGGGTTAAAATAACTCAGCATTACTATATCATTATTCAAATATAATATACTTCGTAAATATAAAATTAGTTATAACGCTATAAATTCATAATTATCATAAAATCGCTGGTCGTGTTTGGTGAATGGTTTAAAGTTGAAAACCATAGTTGATCGTGTTAATAGATTTGGACTAGCTGATTATATTAAGTGATTTGACTAACAAATGTGGTAAATAATTTGTCGTTTAAAGATGTTTGAGTATGCAAAATGACTGATAAGGACACTGACATAGATTATTATTTTGAAGTACAATAAATAATAAATATGTTTTTAAATGATGACATATTTATCATTTCACCTAAAATTTTATTTATATTCGTCAATCGGCAGAGAATTGTCAAATCAAATATTTTTGCCCTAATAATCTCACCAAAACCAGCGCCCTAATCATGTTTTATGCGATTTCTTAATAATTACGGGATTACATCTAGGGTAAATAGCTTGCCAAAAGCTTTAGAATATGGTTATAACGTGATCAACAATTGTCAATAGGCCAATACATCCGCTTACCGAGTCCTAATAGAGCCGTTAGTTTATATAGATATAGGTGTACATATACTGAATGTGTTCAAAAAATTACCCTCAAAGGCTTGAATGAATAAGTTTGCAATTGAACCGCTAATTGCACTATATGGCACCAAATTGTATGTTGCTGCGTGGTTTAGGTTTCATGTGATGCATTTTAGTTTAGGTGCCAAATCGAGCCGTGAACACCCCGAATGCCTATCCGCTTTACTAAGTCACCATTGACCCCATTTTCCTTTAACGGAGTATCAGATACTATCTACTCTTTAGCGCCACCATCTCACAACCATTATCACCACCATCTCACAACCATTATCACCACCATAATTCTCTCTCTTTCTCTCTCCTCCATTCCTTCTTCTTCCTCAACAATGGAGAAACTATGGCGTCCTGCCCTCAAATCCATCTTTCTCTCTCCTCCTAAACCCTCTCCTTCCGCCATCATCACGGCCTTCTCCTCCTCCTCTCGTCGCACTCTCACCACCTTATCTTCTTTGTCCGTCTTTCTCTCTCCTGCTTCGAATTTCGCCTCCTCCAAAACCCTAAATCCGTCAAAACCCTCTTCCTTTTTGCTCCTCTTCTGCCGGGACTGTCGCTGTTTCTCGTCTGTTTCGCCATTGGATACCAATAGGTTTGAGTGGAACGGGCCAATTTCGTGTTCTGAGGTTGTTGATGCTGTTTCTATCGATGATACTGATGAAAATGGTGACGTAGATACTCGCGCTGCTGTGCCTTTTTCTTCTATACCAGGTAATTTTTTCATCTAATTCAATGTTGGATTTCTTCATTATCTTGTATAATTTGGTTTTGTTTCAATGTCAATTATATGGGGTATCGTAATTTTTCTGTAAAATTCTTGGGGGTAAGATAATGTTATAATCTTCGTTTAATTGGTATATTTCAATTTGCTTTTGATTTTTGTAAATTAGTGATATCAATTGTAAGAATTGCTGCCAGAATGAGTAGATTGGTTTGTAGATTGTTCTTTTTTCGATTATTCGATTGATTCATTCCAATTCTTTGATTCTGAAACTCTTACATGATTGTCAAGTGCATTTCCTTACGTTATTGATAATTCAATTGGAAATGTGGAGATGGCAAGGAAATTGGAACTTCCATTCCACGATACCCGGGGTAGGGGCAATATTTATTTCTGGGAAGTTATACCTCCTATGTAACCAAATGATAGATGACTGACATTTCTATTTGGGACCATCTTAATAATAGACTACTTTCAAACTTAGAATGTTGAGTTTGAGATTCTTATTTAGGATGGCTAGGATGGCTGCAGTACATGGACCATTTGGTTCTCTGTTTGGATCTCGTGGATTTACTTCTTCTGCAATTGAGGTAAATCTTCAATAAATTCTGAACATTAAATCAACATTTAACCCATACACTGCAACATCTATTCTGGTACATCATTTTTGAAATTTTTCAAAATTCTTATTGTAAAACAGAACCTTACGATCAAGTCCTGCAATCATGTTCGTCGTGAATGCTTTTCTTAGTACTCCTCACCCCAAAGGTTCAAATATGTTGCTCCTTGTGACGCAACCCAAGACAACAAGACTCATTTGGGGGGTTTTGTATCTTGGATTGTTCGAGACAGAGAAGGTGGAAGAATGAGTATAGGATACGAGTTCGAAAAGGGTGTCAAAGATATAAATGTGCTGGAGCTTTTGGCCATCTTTCGCTTTACATCTTCTCGGCCAACCCTTCCTGGGAACTATCTTATTTGTTCTGATTCCAGTGCTGCTTTATTTACACTGTTATTGAGGAATAAAGGAATTCCTGGGAAAAATGCTGTGATGAGCTACTGGGCAGACCGCATCCTGGACAATATCTCAAGGAACTTTGACAAGGAAGTTTTGATCGTGTGGGTCCCAAGGGATTCGAATCTACCAGCAAATGCTCTGGCAAATATCGCAAAGTATCTCTACTTGGACAGCCGTCAGGTGCAAAGTGCTGATGAGCCTGAGAAGACTTGAAACCAGATCAACCAGACATAAGAGGAGGAAGACTTGAAGTTTTCGAATGATCTGGCCTGTTCTTAAATCTTTATACTCCTGCTAGGTTGATGGAATAGTTAGTTCACTGACATAAATCGTGCAATGGAAAAAACTGGGACTTTTACTATGGAAAGAAAGAAGCTCTTTAAGTTAGTTGGAAGCAAATTCTAATCTGGCAGATGTGATTCTTAAGCTTGGTCTTTTTGAAAGGTGATATTCACGCGTTAATCCACAGTTTTCATATTCCTTGTGTGAATAATTTCTTTCTAACTTGACTGTTGATTCATTCGATGGAATGTATGCTGATAGAAGAGCAGCTGTATGGAACATTTGGTAGTTATGATTTGTGAGTAGCACTGTCAAAACGGTTTGACAGTTCGGTTTCGGTTCGGTTTGAAATCGGTTCGGTATTTAATCGGGTCGGTTTGGAATCGGTTTAATTGTCTCACGGGTCGGTTTTGGTTCGGTTTAAATAGTTATCGGTTCGATTCGGTTTCGGTTTATTCTTAAGCGGTTTTAATTCGGTTCGGGTTGTAAACAGTCCGGGTAGTAAACGGTTTGGTACAGACGGGTTGCGGTTTGTTAACGGTGCAGTGTAAACGGTTTTTATCCCAGTTCAAACAGTTTCGGGTTGGAAACAGTTTCGGGTTAGAAACAGTTCGGTTCTTTTTTGGTTCAGTTTATAACTGGTTCGGTTCTTTTTCGGTTCAGTTTTAACTGCTTCGGTTCTTTTTCGGTTCAGTTTATAACTGGTTCGGTTCGTCGATTGTTTAACCACTTTACCGTTATTCATATCGGTTCCATTTCAAGTTTACTAAATTATAGTTGAATCTAATTAAAACATAGCCTAATAGTATATTCATGTCACTAGCACACTCCTATCTTTATTTCATTATTACTCACATAATCAATGTAATCATATGCTTAATAGTCTATGTGTATTAATTTTATTTATCACGCCTTCATCCAAGCCTTGGTACTTAATATTACAAGCTTTTTGTTCATTTGGTTTCATCACCTCAAATGTATACATGACTAGAGGCAGTATTGTTGATAATAGTTTGAGGCAGGGCCTGAGCCTGCTTGTTTTGCTCTTGTTTGTGAACACTGACTATCCTTAAGACCTTAATGAATGATTTGCCTTGCTATTTTTTAAAAAAATATTCTAAGATTTCTAATATTTAATCCATTTAATTATATCCCCGTAAAAAAAAAAACCATTTAATTATATAAAAAAGTTTGTAAACTGTTCGATTTAGAAGCGATTTGGTTCATAAACGGTTCGGTTTATAACCAGTTCGGTTTACAATCAGTTCGGTTTTTAAATGGTTCGGTGCAAACGGGTAGCAGTTTACTAACGGTTCGGTGTAAGCGGTTTTTTTTTGCCAGTTTAAACGGTTTCGGGTTGGAACCGGTTTCGGGTTAGATACGGTTCGGTTCTTTTTCGGTTCGGTTTTCTTTCAGTTCGGTTTATATTCGGTTCGGTTTATTAACGGGTTCGGTTCTTATACGGTTTAACATTATTCGGGTCGATTCGGTTTCGGGTTTACTAAAATACGGTTCGGGTCGGTTTTCGGTTTCAAAAAAATCGGTTTTTAATAGGTTCGGTTCTCATTTGGGTCGGTCGGTTTCGGGCAATTAAACGGTTTCGGTTTGAAATTTGACAGCACTATTTGTGAGTATGCTGAATTGTAGCCGGTAGCATGTGTGACTTCTCTGGAAATGTGCATCAATTCGATACTTTTGTCTTTTTGTACATGATTTTATATAATTTGCAAGATTCATAATGACTAGTTAAAAATTAGACATGGTAAATGTGCATTCCAAATAAGCTACCTTATCGTAAATGTGTATTAATACATGGGTTTATCTCATTGTAATTACTTTAATATCAGGCTACATAGTTGAATATTTTTTTAAATAGTATAAATAGCCTTTTCGCCTAATTTTTGGTTAAAAATGGTGAAATTTAACTCTTGAACTTTTGATTAAAGCTATGTTCTCAGTCTTGACCTTTTGGTTGATTTTTTTTTAATTTTGTTATTTAATCTGAAATAGCTAATTCTGAGTCGCAAATTAACCCTCTTTGCAGCTCCATTTCGTCCCTTCTTATTTATCTACTTCTTTTACTTGTGCAATATGATTCATATTTATGTTAGTTGTTTATGGAGTTGTGATCTCATGTGTTGGATAATTTTAGTTTGCTATTGATAGCTTGGTTCATTGTTGGATTTTTTACGCTTTATTGTGCGTAGGCTAGAACTTGGATGTGTTTTGGTTGGAATAGAAATGTATTTTTCTTTATGTCCAATGTAGGACTATTGGATGGTGTGAACTCATGTGTTGGATAATTTTAGTTTTCGTTTAAAAAAAAATAATTCTTATTGAATTACAATGGCTTTATTAGAAATATGTATGTTTAAGGGGTTATTATAATCTTTTGAACAATAATTTGTTATTACAATGATTCTTATTGAATTACAATGGCTTTATTTTATAGGTTCAGGTTAGGATGACATCGATAATGCAAATTGTAATTATTTGAAAATTGCATTATAATAATAAATTGCCCTGTTGCAATTCTATGAGGAATTGCGACCGTTTATCTAACCTGTCGTAGATCCTATGTTTTTGCGACCGTCAGGGCCTGTCGCAGATCACAGGAATTTGCGACCGTCTTAGGCGGTCGTAATTTACTGAAAATTGCGACTGTCAGGGCATGTCGCAGATCCCATGTTTTTGCGACTATCAGGGCGTGTCGCGAGGGCGTGTCGTAGATCACAGGAATTTATGTCCGTCACTGGCGGTCGTAATTTACTAAAAATTGCGACTGTCACTGCCTATCGCAGATCCCCGAGTTTTGTGACCGTCTTAGGCGGTCGTAATTTTCAGCAATTGCGACCGCTTTGCCTGTCGCAAATAACAAATTACGTCAGTTTAAAAAACGGTCGTTGAAAATACGAAAAACGGTCGCAATTTGATATGCGACCGCCAAGTGGCCGCAAATTTTTTTTTGCGACCATTAAAATTATGACTGTGCAGTTGCGACCGGTGACGATCGCAGTTGTGTATAGCGACCGTTTTCCTCAAAAATTGCGACCGGTGCTGTCGGTCGCAATTCACTGGTTTTTTTGTAGTGTAAAAAGATCACTTAAGAAAATCAAGGCAATCAAGGAAATTAGCTTAGGAGAGAGAGGGGCCACATAAATTATATTGCGTATCACTTAAGTAAGTTAGGGCAATTGGCTTAAGAAAACTATTTTTACCTAGGAAAAAAAAATGAGAGAGAGAGAGAGAGAGAGAGAAGAAGACCACACAACAAATATCTCTTAAGAAAAACATGACAATTAGCTTAAGAGAGAAAAAAAAAAGAGCCCACTTTAAAAATCAAATTAATTGGCAATGGAAAAGACTTAGGGTCTGTTCTCATTGACTGAACTCAGCTGAATTGAACTGAACTGAAATGAATATTTTATAAGAGAAGGAAATTAGGAGCTGAACTGAGCTGAGCTGAACTGAACTGGGCTAAACTGAACTGAACTGAGCTGAGCAGCTGAGCTGAACTGAACAGAACTGAACTGAATTGAATTACAACGTATGAGAACAAACCCTTACTAAGATGCTGGACCATTTAGGATAATTACGTTTACATAATCTATTTTCTATAGCAAAAACACTTGAAAGAGAGTGAATGAGAGAGAGAGTGAATGAGAGAGAGAGAGAGAGAGAGAGAGAGAGAAAAAGAGAGAGAGAGAGAGAGAGAGAGAGAGAGAGAGAGAGAGAGAGAGAGAGAGAGAGAGAGAGAGAGAGATCACATACAAAAGATCTCTTACTAAGGAGAGTATCTGGGATTTCTGCTCGAAAGGAGGTTAACGTTTGGTTGACTAGAGGGAATGACGGGGCGCTACGACCAGCAGATGTGTTGCTTTATTCCTGGGATAGAGGTCGTGATGTATGTATCGACTTGACGGGGTCTTCACCTTTGACACAATCAGGGTTGTCTGATTTCGAACCTGGTCTTGTTGTGTCGGCGGCGGCTCAGCGAAAGCGAGAGAAGTATGGGGCACGTTGCAGGGCTATTGGCTATGGTTTTCTTCCTTTCTCCTTTTCTTCGTTAGGGGAATTAGAGAAGGATGCTATTGCGTTGCTGAAGCAGGTTCAGGCGTTCGCTAAGACTCAGATGCTCGTGCAGCTGCTCACATCTTCAGTAGGATCAAGTTCGCTATAGCTAGAGAGGTGGGGCCCAGATTGTATCTCGGCGCCCTACCAATTTCTTGTAAATTGATTGAATTTGTAGGTTTTTTGATATAGTAATAGTAATAGTAATAGTTATGGTAATAGTAATAGTAATAATAATAATAACAACAACAACATTAATAATAATAACATTAATAATAGTATTAATAATAATGTTGAAATTTGCTCTACTCTACTCTGCTATTATATAATCTGCTCTGCTCTGTTCTGCTGAAATTTAATCTGCTCTGCCCAGAAGCTCAAAAGAACAGGGCCTAACCCGTTTTGAGGTTTTTAACCCAACTATGGATTAACATAAAAACAACACGACTCATGCTCAATGACCCAAACGGTAAAAAAAAAAAAAAAAAAAAAAAAAAAAAAAAAAACAAATATTTTTAACGAAAAAAATATTTTATACAAATTATTCCTGTAATAAAGTTAAAGTTAGTCTTTACTAAGTCTTGACGAAATTAAACACCCAGTTCCTCCGTTTGCGATTTCATTCATGGATTCGAATTGCATCATCCGAAGGTAAACTGATTTAATATTTCATTAAATTTCAGATTTTAGATTTTTGCCATTTCATTTTGAAAAAAATGTAAAAAAAAAATGTGATTTATTAGGTTTTAGGGTTTTGATTGTGATTTTGTTGTTAGAATGATTGATCTTGAAATTATTTTGTTAGAGAAGTTAAATTGCATGAACATTAAATGATTAGATCTTGAAATCCTATTTCATGTCCTTATGCGTCCGGTGTATGGTAACAGGGTAAAATTGAGTAGCATTGTTGAGGAGTTAAAGTAATGTTAGCTGAAGTAAATCTGATTAAGTATTTTAATTTTTATTTTCTTGAATTTTGAATTAATTGACCTTCAATACCTGTAAATTTGTAATGTGAAAAGGAAATCTGGATATGCAGGGTGGTATTTACAGATTTGATGTTGATTCTAATTAATTTCAGGAAAAATGATTACTTAATCATTTGAATACATATCTAATTAAATAATAAGTATATCTGATTGAGTTTAGAAAAACAAAATTACACTTAAGAATGAGATTATTGAGGAAAACTTAGCACTATCGAGTTGTAGATAGTTGGCATCTGTTGGAAATTGTTTGTGTTTTCCTTTTTTTCAATGGAACATTTGCTGGATTTTGTTTCAAATGGAATTGTCCATTTGTCATACTTCTGTCTGAAATTCGAGTATCCGACATGAATACTTGAGGTGAAATTAAGAGTCGGAGAAATATTGACTTTGGTTAAATTAATATAATACACAATTCTATAGACATTCGACTTAGATTCTGTGTAATTAGTTAGTAGCTAATAGGTATAGCTAGTTGTAAGTAGTTTGACTAGTTTGTTGTATCAGCTAGTTTGATTAGCTGATTGTATGTAGAATTGTTAGGTAAATAATGCAACGGACAGCGCACTAACTCAACAATATTCCAGCAAAGAGAAAAGAAATAGGCAGAAGACAGTTGATTGTATTGAAATAGCCAGAGGCTTTGAGAGTAAATTACAACTACAACTACTAAGCTAGCACAAACTTTTCTGAATGAATTCTTTCTTTCCTTTAAGCTTTCTATTTAACTCCTTACAATTTACTACATGCGACTTAGCTTTAATTACTACCATAACTACTTTGTCTTCTTGCCATAAGCTGCCAAGGAATTTGCTAAAAAGTACTTTAGTTGTCCCCTGCCCTTGCTTATGACTGTTGTTGGTTGCCTGGTGCGTGGTGAGTGCCCCTCTGTGGCTGTCCCCTTCTGCTGTATGTGTGCAGGATGGGTGGCTTGGTGGGTTGGTGTGTTGCAATAATCCCCCCCAAAAGCACCACCTTGTCCTCAAGGTGAAAGTCAGGGAAGCGGCGCAGAATTGAAGTAGCCTCCTCCCAAGTGGCTTCAAAATCAGGCAGTCCGCACCACTTAATTAAGACCTCTTGAACGGTGGTCTTCCCTTGAATTATCCGACTATCCAACACCGTGTCTGGTCCAACCACCAACTCCAACTCCGGGGTGAGCTGATTTGGAATGGTGGGTGAATGTGGCCTGTCACCAATTGCCCGCTTGAGCTGAGACAAATGGAAGACAGGGTGAATACGACATTCATCTGGTAACGCTAATTTATATGCTACTTGACCCACGCGTTGCACAACTTCATAGGGCCCATAGAATCGTGCCGCGAGTTTCTCAAATGGCTTCTTGGCTAGGGATCGTTGTCGATAAGGTCTTAATTTCAAGAACACCGCATCGCCCACCTAGAACTCCTCTTCCCATCGTTTAGCATCTGAATACTTTTTCATTCTCAATTGAGCTTGAAACAAATTCAATTTGAGCTCGTCTAGCATTAAGTCGCGCTCCTGCAGTAATTCATCCAAGGACTCCACATAAGAACAACCCGTGCTCACCTTAATCAACTTTGGAGGGTCTCTTCCGTACAGCACTCTGAAAGGAGACATTTGGGTGGAAGAGTGAATAGCCGTATTATACGAATACTCGGCCCAATGAAGCCATTTAGCCCACGCCTTGGGATGATCCCCAACAAAACATCGGAGATAAGTTTCCACCCCTTTGTTGACCACCTCCGTTTGCCCATCCGTCTTGGGGTGGTACGAGGTACTCCTCTTCAAGTCAGTCCCCTGTAACCGGAATAGTTCCTTCCAAAATGAACTCAAGAACACCCTATCTCTGTCCGACACGATGCTCCCTGGAAAACTGTGTAATCTAACTACTTCCCTCACAAATGCTTCTGCCACGGTCAGAGCGGAGAACGGGTGGCGCAACCCAATGATATGTGCATATTTTGACAATCGGTCTACCACCACCAAAATTGTATCGATACCTTTGGAGCGCGGAAGACCCTCTATGAAATCCATAGTAATGTCTTCCCACACCGCGCTTGGAATGAGCAACGGTTGCAATAATCCGGCTAGGCTCTGCTATGAAAGTTTATTTCTTTGACAGACGTCACAAGCTCTCACATACTCGGCGACGTCGCGTCTCATCCCCTGCCAAAACCATTCCCCCACCATTCTCAAGAAGGTTTTTGTCTCCCCTGCGTGCCCCCCTTCGACCGAATCATGATAAGCCCGGAACAAGGTAAATTTAATGTCGGATTGCTTGGGTATTACCACTCTCCCTTTGTACAGCAGCCTCCCACCTTCAATAGAGTAGCCCGCCACCCCTGTTCCCTCTAAGACTGCGCTTCAAATTGTTTTCAGCAGCGCATCCTCTTCTATCTCCACCTCAAGGGAGTCCAATTCACCCCTTGCGTACTGACTAAGGCTCGAAGCTCTACCTCATCTCCTCCTCTCCGTGAAAGGGCATCCGCAACCCGATTAGTCGTATCGAGTTTATACTGCAAATCAAAATCGAACCCAATTAACTTGCGAATCCATTTTTGATATTCCATGGCCACTTCGTGTTGTTGAGTGATGAATCGCAAGCTCTGTTGATCACTTCTCACCATAAATTTTCGACCCAAGAGGTAATGTTTCCATTTTTGCACCGCCAAACAAACCGCCATGAACTCCTTTTCGTACACCGATTTGCCGCGGCTTGTAGGTCCTAGAACCTTGCTGTAGAAGGCGATCGGTCTGCCCCTTTGCATCAAGACGGCCCCGAGGCCAAACCCCGAGGCATCGGTCTCCACGAGGAATTCCTTGTGGAAGTCGGGCATGGCGAGAATAGGAGCTTCAGCCATGGCCTTCTTGAGTTTCTCGAATGCGCATGTGGTCTCCACTGACCACTTGAAGTTATCTTTTTTAAGTTGGTAAGCGAGTGGGTGGGCAATATGTGCATATTGAGATATGAACTTCCTGTAACAGCCCGTCAGGCCCAAAAACCCTCTCAGCTCCCTTAAGGTTTTGGGAATGGGCCAAGTAAGCATGGACCTCACCTTTTCTTGGTCCACTGCCACTCCATGCCTTGAAATTATGTGACCCAAATAAGCAACCTCTTCTTTTCCAAATTCACATTTTTTCTTATTGGCATACAAGGTGTTATCCTTCAACGTAGCTAAGACTACTTGCAAATGCTTGACATGAGCTTCCTTGCTATCACTATAAACAAGAATAGCATCAAAAAAACACAAGCACAAATTTTCTCAAATAAGGGCGAAACACCTCATTCATGAGTGATTGGAAGGTCGTCGGCGCATTAGTGAGGCCAAAGGGCATCACTAAAAATTCATAGTGACCCTCGTGAATTCGAAACGCCGTCTTATGAGTGTCTTCGGGTTTCACCAAAATTTGATGGTAGCCGGCCTTGAGATCAAGTTTGGAGAACACTTGGGCTCCATGTAGCTCATCAAGGAGTTCATCAGTAACCGGAATGGGATACTTATCCGGCATCGTCTCTTTGTTAAGTGCCCTATAATCCACACAAAACCTCCAAGAACCATCTTTTTTCTTGACTAAAAGAACCGGACTTGAGAAAGGACTAGTAGATGGCTTGATGATTCCCGCGGTCAACATTTCACCAATAAGTCTTTCTATCTCATCCTTTTGAAATTGAGGATATCGATAGGGCCTTACACTCACCGGATTGCTACCATCCTTAAGAACAATGGCATGGTCACGCCCACGACTCAGAGGTAACCCTTTAGGACTCTCGAAAACTCCCGCAAAATGCTCAATTTCGGACTTTAAAATTTTTGGAATTTCCCCTTCAAACTCACTGCTCGTGCCTTTCATATTACTAAACTCCACCAAAAATCCGCCCCTCTCCTTGCGCAAGGATTTTACCATGGCCTTAAGAGTAACCCGGTGCGTGCTAAGGAGGGGTCTCCCCTAACACACGCGGTTTGGCCATTCACCGTGAAACTCATCTCTTGAGTTTTCCAATTTGTAAGTACCGTCCCTAACTTCTCAAGCCATTGGACGCCAAGGATCACCTCGGAATTCCCCAATTGGAGGGGTAGGAAGTCCTCCACTACCTCCACCTTATCTCCCAACTTGAGGTGCACTCCAACACACAAGCCTTGCCCCCTCACCGTTTTTCCATTCCCTAATGACACGCCAAACGTACCACTTCCCTCAATCACCATTCCCAACTTCTCCACCGTATGCAAGGAAATAAAATTATGCGTAGCTCCCGGGTCTATCATGACCACAACCTTCTCTCCATTAATCTCACCAATTAACTTCAATGTTTTAGGATTAGTAAGTCCAACTAGTGAGTTCATTGACATGGAAACGGGTACCTCGACACCTTCACTAGCAGCGCCTTCGATGGTCGCAAACTCACGCTCTTCCTCCTCACCGTCCTCTTCTTCTACTAGTAATACGCTAATCTCCTTAGCACGACACACATGGTTGAAGTCCCACTTCCCATCACACTTGAAGCAAAGGCCCTTAGCCTTCTTATCTTGCATCTCCCTTTCTGTCAATCTCCTTACTCCTGCAGTAAATCGTGAGTAACTAGGACTGATTCGATTTGGGCCTGATCCAGTTCATCCAATGGACCCAACTGAACTTTGGGGGGCTTTACTTGTTGTTGGGCTTTGTATGAAGGAAGAAGATTGGGTCGGTCCACCTCCCCATAATAAGGTGCTGGCTAGGCTTTTGTTAAAAAACGAATACGGGCTGGGCTTGGAGAACGCCCCGTTTGACTTCTTAAACCCATGGACCCGATTCCTTTCCTCCACCCTAGTAGCCAAGTCCATAGCTTGCTCCAACGTAAATAGGTTAAGCAACCACACCTCAGCTCGTATATCCTCTCTCAGTCCATTCAGAAATTGGCCCTTCATCAAACTCTCCGGCACATCGGAAAGCGGCGCCGCCTTCTCGATAAATTCCCTCTGATACTCCACCACGGTAGAAGTGTGCTCAACCGCCAGCCATTGCTCGTGTAATGACCCAACGTTGGTCGGTCGGAACTGGGTGAGTATGCGGTGTTTCAAGTCCTCCCACCCACGCAGCGGCCGCCTACGATTCTCCCATTGATACCATCTCAATCCATCTCCCTCCATTGACACCATAGCCGCCTAAAGTTGCTCCTGCTCCGAGAGTTGATAAAACTGAAAATATTGCTCCGCCCTCAACAACCACCCATCTGGGTCGTCGCCGGAGAAAAGGGGCATATCTAGTTTCCGAAACTTCCAATTTCCTCGACCACCATAGCCGTCTCCCTAGTCATGCCCCCTAAGTGGTTGCTCTCTGTTTTGCCCGTTGCCATTGTTCTGGCTGAACTGCCTCCGGGGAGAACCACCCGCGCCTGACGCCGCCTCATCCTCCATGTGGCCTAAAGGCCTCTGTCCAGCACGTATGGTTTCGACGGCTCCACGTATCTTCTCAAAAAATTTGTCCTGGTCGCGCCTGACCAACGCAATTTGTTGGGTGTGGTTTTCCCGAAAACGGTCCATCCTTCCCTCAATCCGCTGGGCCTCGGCATTCTGCTGTCGGCCAAAATGCTCCGACAAGGATTTTTGGAGTGCCTCCATGCTCTCTGTGATGGTTTTGGTCAAGATGGCCTGAATGTAGTTGTCTCCGTCTCCCACCTTGGTGGCCATATCCATCACATGGCCCTCAAGAGCTTCAATACGCTGAGTGTTCGATGCCGGAGCCATGCCTGCTCTGATATCACTTGCAACGGACAGCGCACTAACTCAACAATATTCCAGCAAAGAGAAAAGAAATAGGCAGAAGACAGTTGATTATATTGAAATAGCCAGAGGCTTTGAGAGTAAATTACAACTACAACTACTAAGCTAGCAAAAACTTTTCTGAACGAATTCTTTCTTTCCTCCAAACTTTCTATTTTACTCCTTACAATTTACTACATGTGACTTAGCTTTAATTACTACCATAACTACTTTTGTCTTCTTGCCATAAGCTGCCAAGGAATTTGCTAAAAAGTACTTTAGTTGTCCGCTGCCCTTGCTTGTGACTGTTGTTGGTTGCCTGGTGTGTGGTGAGTGCCCCTCTGTGGCTCTCCCCTTTTGCTGTATGTGTGTAGGATGGGTGGCTTGGTGGGTTGGTGTGTTGCAAATAATCAGTTAATTATCTATTATTTCAGTGTATGTGATTTTCAAAAAGCCAAAATTTCAAAGCATTGATTTCTATTATTTCAGTGTATGCGATTTCTCAGTGTGTGATTTCTAAGTGTATGTGATTACAACAATAGAAATCACCTAACATATTTGCGTTGATTTCTATTGTTGTAGAAAAATGTTAGTTACTCGAGGAAAAGCGGTTCGTGTTGGGTTTTTGGTAATTCAAGCCAATCTTATTCCTGGATCATTTGCTGCAAAAGAGGTAGTACACCCCACTTTCTGGAATAAGGGTTTTCAAAAACTGAATTACACCTCTGGACCATTTGGTTCTGTGTTCGGATCTCGTGGCTTTACTTCTTCTGCAATTAAGGTAATTCTTTGATAAATTTTGAACTTTAAATAAAAATTTAACCCATACACTGCAACATCTATTCTAGTACATCATTTCTGAAATCTCTCAAAATTCTTAATGTAAAACAGAACCTTACGATCTAGCCCTGCAATCGTGTTCGTCGTGAACGCTTTTCTTGGTACTCCGTTCCCAAAAGGGTCAAGTATGTTGCTCACTGTGACGCAACCCAAGACAACAAGACTCATTTGGGGGGTTTTGTATCTTGGATTGTTCGAGACAGAGAAGGAGCAAGAAAGAGTGTCGGATACGAGTTCGAAGAGGGGGTCAAAGATATAAATGTGCTGGAGCTTTTGGCCATATTTCGCTTTACATCTTCTCGGCCAACCCTTCCTGGGAAATATCTTATTTGTTCTAACTCCAGTGCTACTGACAGGGTAAAGTCTTATCCCCTAATCAAAAATAATTCCTAAGTCCTCTAACTAAAGTAGATAGAGAAGTAGGGTCGATCTCCATAAGGAAACAAGTCTTTTTACTCCTAATTAATTATTATAATCTAAATTATCTAAGTAACAAATATTTATATTTGAGTATGAAACTAAACTACAAAGAATAGGAATAGGGAGAAAACAATATATAAAAGGATCTAGGGCATAGGTTCACCAATAAATAATACTCCAGGGTAAAACATAGTAATCAATCATTGACATTGCATAAATAACACGATTAACAAGCTCTCGCAATTTATTAATCAACATAGATCTAACAGGCTCTCGCAATTTACTAGATCTAAGTTCTTATTGAAAATAGCCTTTAATATCAAATTAACATCTGCTCGATTCATCAATTTAATATTGCTATACTTTTACAAGCCGCAATTGTAAAACGTTAAAACAATTCAATAAGAAATTATCATGAAATACCAATAATCAATAATAGTCAATCATCAATGCATCAATTAACCAGATTGTAAAGGGCTTTCGCTACGTATTACAATCACATAATTAATTTACCGGTATTAAATCTCATCTCTCGAATCTCGACTTAACCATTTATAAATTAACCTGCCTATTGAAACTAGACCTAAACATCAACTCTCATCTGTCGAATCTCGAATCAATGTTGTCACACTCATGCATAAAAGATCATGCCTAATCTAGTTACATAGCATTAAATCAATCAATAGGAAATTAATCTAGCATTGATAATTAACAACAATAAATTACCCCTTTATATTATTTATTAGATCCCCATAAACCCTAGAAATTAAACTACTCACTCATAATAGAAACTAAACTAGTCAAGGTAATAAATTAAATCATGATGAAAGGAATAAAATAAACAACTGAGGTTAAGGGAAGAGAAATCGTTACCAAAATAAATCTGGAATTAATGGAAGAATTAAGAACAAAGGTTTAAGAGAAAAGAAATCTAAGAGAATAATTAAGAGAGTAAAGAAAGAGTAAAGAGTCGAAGAAGAGCCCTAAAATCGAATTACGGAGGAGTATTTATACTCCGTACAAAATCCTAAACTAAAACAAATTAAAACGACGCTAATCGTCTACTAAGAAATACACGCGCCCGATCGGGCGAGGCACCACCCGATCGGGCGCGCTTTTTTTTGCTCATTACTACTAATCTCGCGCAACAAATCTCTTTTCTGCTTACAGGCACTAATAAATATGTCTTTAACAGTTACTTGAAGAATCTCACATTATAAGAACTTAAAAATACCACTTTTTTTAATCTTCAAAAATAAATACATCTAAAGAAGTGAAATTAAAGAGGACGTCTCTCCACAAAAGAATAACAGCATGAAGGCCCACCCCAACAAATAAAATGTTGTTAGAAGATAAGTCTAATAAGTGAATGCCAATTATTGATTTGATTACACAATGCTCATATAGGTCCAAACACTTGTGAACTCATATGACTCTATGTGAGTAATTATTGTATTATTAGTGTAACTCATGGCTATAAATACAATTCCATAGAAGTAAGAATACAATGATAACACTACAAAAATTTCACCCATCTTCTTTCACTCTTTTACTCCTTTTATTAATCAAAACTTTTCTATCGGTAAATTCTTTAACACGTTATCAGCACCAGTTTTCAGTCAGGTATATTTATACCTACTTCTAAAAATTTATAACAAATAATACTATCTACTTCTAAATGTTTCGAGGAGTATGCTCTATAGTTGCCCATATTTGGGATCCTCTATAACAGAAACTCAAACATTTACTATATATACCTCAAAAACAACGGTGAAAGTTCTCTTACTTGTGAATTTACTACTATCATCTTTTGTTAATTCATGTTGATGTTTCTTTGTTTGATCCATGTTGATATTACATACTCATTTTACGTAAATTTTTATCTTAGTTATTATAATTGCTAAGTAGTAGCTTTGCATGCATATTATTATTAACTAGATCAACAAAAAGATGCAGCCTTTTATACTTATTATTTTTCTTACTTTTACATACTTTTTGTGTTTCTTTCCGTTTTCGAACCCATGATCTTTTATAGATATTAGGGCTCTCGGACCACTATGGCTTGCATTCCCAGTGTGATAACCTTTTACAATTATAAATATATATATATGGACCATAATTTTATGCCAGTACGTTAGACTATTATATGATATTTTTACAGTTGTACAGAACAGTAACGGATTAACCTACCTCTATAAAAGACGGATTTTTCCCCCAATTTCACCACAAATCCCTTATCCCTTCCTACTTTTTATCCAAAAATCACCTAAAAAAAAAAAAAATTTCACCCCCTTCTTCTCCGATATGTTCCCCGACAACGGCAACCAAAACACCCACAACTTCACTTTTGAGGAAGATTTAATGAAGATAAAACAATATTTCCTTCTAATTACGGCGCTTGTAATTTTATTAGTAGCAATATTAATTTTTGTCATTATGTATAAGTAAAACTCACTTATTTTGTCGTTTTAGTATATTAAAAGCTTGTTTTTGTTTTATTATGTATGTTTGTTGTTATTAATCATCATTGTATAATATTACCGTTATCATTATAATTATTGTTACTACTGTCATTGTTGTCGTTTTGCTGTTTTTTTTTTTGCAACTAACATGATTAATTTTTGTCTAATCATATAATTACTCACAATAATAAACCAAGGGGGAGAAAAGACTATATTATTTATGGTTTATTATTATTAAATTTAATTATCACGTGTCTTATTAACTTAATTATAAATATGGAAGAACTAAACATGTGAGTTGTACATATAATTTGTTATTATAAACTAATTATCACGAAATTTGTTGTAGCTAAAATGGGAGACCTTATGAAAAGAAGTTCAGCATCTTAGATTTATCTGGAAAGAAATTTCTGGAATGGAAAGTGGACGCAATGATGAATTTGAAAGCTCAAGGCTTGGAGCACACTGTTAAAGAAAATAAAAGTCCCTCTGGTCAAACAACTGATACTACCACTTCTGCAATGTCTGTTGCAAAACCTGTTACTGAACAAGATAAGGCAAAAGCCTTAGTGTTGTTAAGGCATCATTTACATGAAGGCCTTAAAACTGAGTACATGATGGTTGAAGATCCCAAAGAATTATGGGATTGCCTTAATGAAAGATTTGGATACCACAAAAGGGTGCTCCTTCCTAAGGCATTATTTGACTGGACAAATTTACGGTTCCAGGATTTCAAATCTGTAATTGATTATATTTCAACCATACATGAGATAGTGTCTATATTGAGATACTGTGATCATCCAGTTTCGGATGAACAGATGATTGAAAAAACACTCACTACCTTTCATGCAAGTAACATACTGTTGCAAGAACAGTATCGTGAAAGAGGTTTTAAAAAGTTCAATGAATTAATGAGTGTATTGCTTGTTGCGGAACAAAATAGTGAACTTTTGTTGAAAAATCATAACCTGAGACCAACTGGGTCTTTGGCCACTCATCATGAGGCAAATGCAACAAATTCCTATCCACCCGAGTCAAATGCTACAAGAAGAGGTGGACGTGGAAATTACAATGGCCGTGGAAAAGGCCGTGGAAATTATCGCGGACGAGGCCGAGGACGTGGTAGAAACAATTTTCAAAGAAACAGTAATTTTGAAAATTTTGAAAAACAGAAGGGACAGTCATCTGGAAGCCACAAACAAACTCTTTCAAAAGGAAAAGACACATGTTACAGATGTGGCATGACAGGACATTGGGGACGTACTTGTCGTACGGCCAAACATTTGGTAGACCTTTACCAGGCTTCTGTAAAAGGCAAAGAGAAAAATGCAGAAGCAAATTATGTTAATGAAGAAAATGCTCCATGTCCTACCCTTGATGTGTCCGATTTCTTCATGGACAATGCTGAAACTGGGAATGATTTCATTCTTGGAGAAAACAACAATGCTTAGGTTCCCCATCTACTAATGTAAAATATGCTATGTTTTAATGTATTTTCTTAGTTCCCTGTATTTTAAATTTCTAGTCATGTACTTTAAATCTTTATCATCAATAAAAGTTTGTATGATATTATTCTAAACTAATCTTAAATTTATTTTATGAAGATATGGATCTACCTAAAGTTAGTTCCGAATATTAATGCCTTTTGGACAGTGGAACAACACATACTATCTTAAAAGATAGAAAATATTTTTCACAACTAAAGTTGTTTCAAGCAAATGTAAACACCATTTCCGGGTCAGCTAAATTAATTGAAGGATCTGGAAAGGCTTGTATAATGCTTCCAAATGGAACAAAATTAATAATCAATAATGCTTTATATTCGAGTAAATCTCGGAGAAATCTCATAAGCTTTAAAGATGTACGCCAAAATGGCTATCATCTAGAAACAATGACGACAGATCAAAAAGAGTATATATGCCTCACGGCAGAAAAACATGGCAAGAAACATATATATGAGAAATTGCCAGCATACTCTTCGGGGTTATACCGTATAAACATACGACCCGTGGAAATCAATATGATATCTAACCAGAAGTTAGATGACAAACATTTGATTATTTTATGGCATGATCGTTTGGGACATCCAGCAACTGGGATGATGCAAAGAATAATAGCACATTCAGTTGGACATTCAATAAGAAATGTCAAAATTCCCCGATCAGATGAATTAACATGCTCTGCATGTTCACTTGGCAAATTAATAATAAGGCCATCTATGAACAAAATTGCTACTGAATCTCCAAAATTCTTGGAAAGAATTCAGGGAGATATATGTGGGCCAATTAATCCAGCATGTGGACCATTTCGATATTTCATGGTTTTAATTGATGCCTCTACACGATGGTCACATGTTAGTCTACTTTCAAGTAGAAATGTTGCCTTAGCAAAATTACTTGCCCAAATCATCAAATTAAGAGCACAATTCCCAGATCATACAATAAAGAAAATAAGACTTGACAATGCTGGGGAATTTACATCCCAAACATTTAATGATTATTGTATGTCAATTGGAATTGATGTTGAACACCCAGTAGCTCATGTTCATACACAAAATGGTCTAGCTGAATCACTAATTAAGAGATTACAATTGATTGCAAGACCATTATTAATGAGGTCAAGATTGCCATCATCTGCTTGGGGACATGATATAATACATGCAGCAACGCTAATTAGATTGAGACCTACAGCTTATCATAAATTCTCACCACTACAACTTGTTTGTGGTCGAGAACCAAGTATCTCACATCTAAAAATCTTTGGTTGTGCTGTATATGTTCCCATTGCTCCACCCCAACGAACAAAAATGGGTCCACAAAGAAGGCTGGGAATTTATGTCGGGTTTGAATCCCCCTCTATAATTAAATACCTTGAACCATTGACTAGTGACTTATTTACGGCTAGATTTGCGGACTGTCACTTTAATGAAACAGTATTCCCAGCCTTAGGGGGAGAGAAAGTGGACCCACATAAGAAAGAAATTGAACTCATTTGGAATGCAACACAACTGTTGATGTTAGACCCACGAACAAATATGTGTGAACAAGAAGTTAAGAAAATTGTTCATTTACAAAGTGTTGCAAATCAATTGCCCGATGCATTTGTAGACACAAAGAAGGTGACAAAATCACATATACCAGCAGAAAATGCCCCTGCACGTATTGAAATCCCAACTGGTAATAAGGCCATAGAAAATGAATCTTAGGCACGCAGAAAGCGTGGAAGACCACTTGGTTCAAAAGATTCTAAGCCAAGGAAACTAAAAAGATTGGATGGAATAGAAAATGAGACTAATAATGTTCCCCCGTCAGAAGGTCAAGAAAGACCAAATGTGGATGAAAGTAAAGAAAATGATGATAATCCAAAAGGGGACGAACAAGAAGACAACCCTACGGGGAATGAACAAGATGTTCAAAACATCGATAACAATGAAATTTCAATGAATTACGTCTCTACAAAGACTCAGTGGAATAGGAAAGATGTTATCGTTAATGAAACATTTGCAAATTCCATCGCAATCGACACCGTGTCTGATGAAAATGATGTTGAACCAAGAACTGTAGAAGAATGTCGACGTAGGAGTGATTGGCCAAAGTGGAAGGAGGCAATGCTGGCTGAGTTAAAGTCACTTGAAAAACGAGAAGTTTTTGGGAAAATAACCCTTACACCAACAGGTGTAAAACCCGTTGGATACAAATGGGTATTTGTAAGAAAACGTAATGAGAAAAATGAAATAGTTAGATACAAGGCAAGACTTGTAGCCCAAGGATTTTCTCAAATTCCAGGGATTGATTATGAAGAAACATATTCTCCAGTGGTTGATGCAACTACATTAAGATTTCTGGTAAGTTTGACAGTCACAAAAGGACTGCAAATGCGATTAATGGATGTAGTGACTGCGTATTTGTATGGGTCACTCGATACGGACATTTACATGAAAGTCCCCGAAGGACTAAAACTACCAGAAAACCACAAGCCTAGACAACTGCTTTCCATAAAACTAAAAAGGTCACTTTATGGATTGAAACAATCTAGAAGGATGTGGTACAACCGTCTGAGTGAATACCTTATGAGAGAAGGATTCAAAAACAACCAAGTTAGTCCCTGTGTTTTCATAAAGCGATCACAATCAGGATTCGCTATCATTGCAGTTTATGTTGATGATTTAAATATCATCGGAACCCCAAATGAACTCGAGAAAACTGCAAAATACTTGATGAAAGAATTTGAGATGAAAGACCTTGGGAAAACTAAATTTTGCCTTGGACTACAAATTGAGCACTTGAGTCATGGCATTTTTGTCCATCAATCAAACTATACAGAAAGAGTTTTGAAACGTTTCTTCATGGATAAAGCAACCCCAACCAACTTCCCAATGGTTGTTCGTTCTTTGAATATGAAAAATGATCCATTCAGACCCCGAGAAGAAAATGAAGAGATTTTGGGTCCAGAAGTACCATACTTAAGTGCAATTGGAGCCTTAATGTACTTAGCTAACAATACTAGACCCGACATAGCTTTCTCTGTGAATTTGTTAGCCAGGCACAGCAATGCACCAACATATAGGCATTGGAAGGGAGTTCGACACTTACTCCGGTACCTACGAGGGACACAAGACCTTGGTTTATATTACCAACCAAAACAAGATGCTGCTCTCATTGGGTATGCAGACGCTGGATACTTATCAGATCCTCAAAATGCCAAGTCACAAAATGGATATGTATTCACTTATGGCGGCACTGCAATATCATGGAAATCAACAAAGCAGACATTGACCGCGACATCATCAAATCATGCAGAGTTGATAGCCCTCTATGAAGCAGGACGAGAATGTGTGTGGTTGAGGTCGATGATCAGTAATATCCAAAAGGAGTGTGGAATGAACGCAATAACAGAAGACCCAACCATCATCTTTGAAGACAATACAGCATGTATCGCTCAAGTAACTGAAGGATATATTAAAGGAGATAAAACGAAACATATTGCCCCAAAACTGTTCTTCACACATGATCTGCAAAAGGACGAGGAAATAAATATCCAGCAAATTCAGTCTTGTGAAAATCTTGCCGACCTTTTCACCAAATCACTTTCTTCGAAGAAATTTGAACAGTTAGTTCACAAAATCGGAATGCGACATCTTCGTGAACTATGCTGAGATCAGGGGGAGTATTATATGTACTGCACTCTTTTTCCCTTCGATCAGGTTTTTATCCCACCGGGTTTTTCCTGACAAGGTTTTTAACGAGGCAGTATACCAAAGCATATAATACAATAATATTGGTGTACTCTTTTGGCTATGGGTCTTATCCCATAAAGTTTTACCTAACAAGATTTTTAGTGGCATTCAAGGGGGAGTGTTAGAAGATAAGTCTAATAAGTGAATGCCAATTATTGATTTGATTACACAATGCTCATATAGGTCCAAACACTTGTGAACTCATATGGCTCTATGTGAGTAATTATTGTATTATTAGTGTAACTCATGGCTATAAATACAATGTCATAGAAGTAAGAATACAATGATAACACTACAACAATTTCACCCATCTTCTTTCACTCTTTTACTCCTTTTATTAATCAAAACTTTTCTATCGGTAAATTCTTTAACAAATGCCACTTTTTTTTAGTATCTTTGTTTAGATGTTGAGCTGCCCAAAAAAACAAAGAAGCTGAAAAACAAAGGCTATAACAGCGGCACAACATAGATATCTTTCTTCTGTCCGTTATATTTGATTATATGCTCTACCAATTGACCAAAGCCAATCAATGGAAGATCTTGGAAAAACAGTTGAGGGCTGGGGGGAGGCAAGGTTTGATTCTCAAATCTCCTGGTCAAAAATAGAATACTAAACCACTAGAATACGAAACCCACTTTTCACTAATATCAGAAGCCTAGGCTATGGTTTGAAATCCACAAATTGCTAGCAAAGTAATCCCCTCCAGTTACTTATCATAATGAATTACATTATATAAAGCATGACTGCATGAACACATATTACTCTCCCTGCACAATAAACTGAAAGCAAAGAAACATTGGCTGAGATGAAAGTCAGAAAATGCAGAGGGAACTGCGACCTCAAAAGGGAACTCTTTCTATCAGCTAGACATCCAAGACAAATATAAAGTAAATAGTATTGTAGTACAAAGATGACACTCATGGTACAAACACACTAAGTCAGGTCATGCATCCCATAGTGGTTTTCCATAAATACACTAAATCATACTGGCGCTAGGTAATAAAACGAGAAATAGCAATGTTGCATATGGATGATCAGGATAATAAAGTCATGACAAACAGACATGAGTATATCTTCATAGATTTCTCAATACCTAATACTTAGCACCTAAAGATGGAAATGGATGCAATGAAGAAGGGAAAATAAAAACACACAAGGTCACATGCTTGCTAGTGAAATGCATTACCTAATACATTCATATGGACATGGGAAAATATTAATCAAATAACACAAGAACTTGATTACCATCTCCCTTCATTATCTTACATCATATAGGCTTGACTAACATCAATGTTCATCACCATTATCAAAATCTATATTGTACAATCCT